AAATCAACATGCTTACGTGTGGTTGGGCGAGCCGCTGATTTGAGAAATCGGGCCACGTGTAATGCTGCTTCTGCTGCGGCAACTTTTCCTCTACCTCCTCTCCTTCTTGCTCATACAGGAAAGCGGACAGGATCCCAGTGCCATTGCTATCGCTGCCAACCGCTTGTCCCCAACCCCAGCGTGCTCGCCCCGACCTCACGGTGAGACCATGCCGGGTGCTTCAGATTTTTCGATTCTCGGCAGGCCGCTGATCGCCTGCAAAGCTTCAGGCGAGGGAGGCAAAGCAACTCCAGCGGATCGCTGCTTTTTGTCGACCGGCTTGTTTCATTTCAGTGTTGCTGCGTGCTGTTGATTGGATCTGCATCCGCACGATCCGCACTGGTGCTGCAAAACTCCCGAGCCAGGATCTAGTTGCAGTGCTGCTTGGTGGGAGCCGCGGTTTTGAATGATTTTCAGCATTGCCTGCGTGCTTGCCTGGGTCAGGGGTATCAGTGTTGTAGGGCTTCTAGACTGCTAGATGGTGCGTCCGTTTACCTGGTTATACAGACCTGCTGATATGATGATAGCATAGGGTCCTGTTACTCTGCCCGGGCAGCAGTGGAGCCTGAGGTCCTGTCACACGGCTGAGCCTGCGGAATGCGCTAGGCCTCGGTCTCGGGAAAGCCATGCATGCAATGTCAAGACTGCACCTGGAGAGTTTCAACGAAATTCGCTGCCCCCGCTCTATCAAGTGAGGGCGTGTTCTTTGCCGCTGTATCGCCAGACACGCCGCCCTGCAGCCGGGCACCTGGTGTGTTGTTACTTCCTGCGTACCTGCATTGAGTAACATCCTTTGCCTGGTGTAGCTGGCATCATGATAGTGAGCTGTCAGAACTGACCAAGCTATGGATGTGCGCCAATCCTCGCCAACGCCCTCTGCCGCGAACTTTTGACAGGCATGAGGGGCCTGCAACACTGTCCATCAGATATCCATGCGGCCCATGATAGCCTCTTCGCGATAGCTGCTCAGGTCCTTCCTCTGCTCTTCGCTGAGTCCAGAGCTCCAGGATGACTCACCAGAGGAGCCGTGGACCTGCAAGCAATCATGTTTTCAGATAGATTCGCAACTTTTGGGGCAGGTCAAACCAGCAGGACGTCTTGTGGTAGAGGTGCTGGAGGCCATTGGCAGTCTTTATTGGCTTCTGCATCAGCGGCGTGGTTTTTTGTTGTCAGGCTGCATGTCTGGCTGGAAGAGGAGGGTGATGCTTTCAGGTGGATGCCCCCAATTTGACCAACTTTCCAAGTGCAGGTGGTTCGGCTTCCTCCGAGGTCTTCTGGTTTTCGCCTGGCACTTGCGAACTGGACCATGACGTGGGCATGTCATAAACATGTGGATGACAGAGGCTGTGCCTTCTTCTCGCAATGATGCGCGGGAATTCCAGTGTGGAGGCCTTAGTCCACTTCAACCACAGGAGCGCCCGGCGAGAGACCTTGCTGCCTGAGCTTGAACCCTTTGGAATGAGCTGGAAGCATAAAGACTTTATGCATTGCAATTCTATGAAGAAGAGACCCGAGGCAGATAAAAGGACAGCTGGATTCGTAGGTCATTCGTCATCACTTGACATACACATGAGCGCTTCACAGGCCCCCGGAATGCACCTAAGATTGCAGCCCGGCCAGCAAATCGATACCAATCTTAAACATGTCCATACCACCTGCGCCAGCCAAAAGCTCCAAGAAGGCCTTCGGCCTATGACGCTCTTCAGCCTGCATCTTCTTGCGCCTCTTTCGCCCTCGATCGACCTTAAAGCTGTGCTTTCTGGCTGGTGTTGGTAGCGGCGATGTTGATGAGGACTCAAAATGGCTTGATGCTCTTAACAGCTGCTTGTGTACTGGAGACGATCAGGTGGGGAGCTGGTGCTGTTTTTGTGGGCGTGGGGTCTCGTTTTTTGTTTGTGTTTTGTGTTGTTAAATGTAACTTTTGCATGGCGCAGTGGATTATCCTACAAGCCGCATTAAGCCTATCAGACAGTAGTCGCTGTGCGTGTGTACCCTTCGAAGCGAACACTGACTGGCCGTGTTCTGCATATTCTATAGCTCGTGTCACGTGTCAGGGTGCAGGTGCAACGTGCGACCAACCCCCAGACTGCCACCTGAAACTGCAATGGCTTGCTAAGGTGCAGAGCGCCTGCGTTGCGATGCCAGTCTTGATCCCAAGTGATGCTGGCCCCGCCAAGACTTTCCAAGAGCTCTTGCGACGACCTTAGTTGCCGGATCTACACGTTCGCTCAAGCGTGAACTGGCCTTGGCTGGTACTGGTAAGGTTCGGAGCTTTCTCGGCAGCCGTCAGGAAGCTGCACAAGCCCAACACCAGCATGGGTTGTTGATCATGATGCGTATTGGTTAGTGCAGAGATTTGCAGGAGCAGCTTGGCGGCTCATAGCGACCAGGATGCCTGAGACTTGGCTCAGCAAACCCATGTCGAATTGCACTCAAAGTCTCAATCAACGTCTGAAACCCTTGTCCTTAGGCAGAAGACTGGAGAAGTGGTCCTTCTCAAGAAGTGCCCTGCTGAGCCACGAGGATTTCAGAAAACGTGCATCACTGACGCGAAGGTGAGCACGCTTTTGGGCTTCCTGAAGCTCCTCTTGTACTGGCTGGTGGCTGGCCGAGCTGATTATCGTGATCTGTACGTCAGATAGACTCTTCAGATTGAAGTCCAGGTTTTGCTTAGCACTGCTGGCAAGGCCACCTGCCCGCAAGTACTGGTAAGCTTTGCGACTTCGCCCGTGATGGTGCCACTGGTGCGCATCTCAGCACACTTGCGCAGCAGTGGCAGGAGGGGCAACCCAGCTCACAGGCAATCGACCTTACTTCCATGGACAGTCGCCATGGACTTAGTGACTATTGTCATCCATGAACCAACATGCGGGTCGCGCGAACAAGGATATGGAAACTTTTACCGCGCCCAGATCGAAGGCAATCTTACGCTGTAATTATTGTGTGGCAGTCCAGCCGGAAAGCAAAAAAAAAAGTTGAGCTGGACTGAAAGTGCAAAGTCGACGACGGAGAAGCTGAAGCATATGTCGATCAGTTTTTCAATTGGGCTTCATACCTACAAGTTGCGGTCACGTTACGTTGCTACAGTGACCCGTCAATTTGTCGTTGACAAGAGCAGTCTTTCAGTAACTATTGCGACGCTAACTCTTTGTATGCACTCACGGTTCACATACCTCACACCCCAGAGAGCTTGGTCTTGCTTCAGCGGCTGACTTGGAAGGCCTTGCCTGTTTGGTCATGGGTGCTTGCATCCAAGCAGAGAGTTCCGAGGCGGCTTTGAGAAGACTGACATGACATAACTCATTGTAAATAGTAGTTTCCATGTCATTTTCCATTCTCCCTATATAACCCCTATATTGCCCCAATATAGTCCCAAGAGTCAGGCCGATGTTGCATCGCTCATGTCCCTCATCGCTCGGCGCCCTCAGCTTAGGGTTTGCTGGGTCACACATGCAGCTTTATCAGACATGGAGGATAATCGATTCGAACTTTGTCCTTTAGGGTCTCTGTGAAGAGGTATGTTACTGTGGCTCCGTACAGAACAACTGCAGGACAAGGTCTTGGCCTTATCAAAGTGCTAAGGTGTTGGCATTGAGGCCTACCAGCAGAAGGCCACTTGCTGAATCTGAGCAGTTGGCAATTGCTTAGAAGATTGCGGAAGAGGCCACAAGCCCAAGAAACGGAGAGCAACTAAAGACATCATGTCATTTCTCAAAGCTCAGAACCACCATTCAACCCAAAATGTTTTAGTCCTGCTGGCAACGAAAAGGCACGATAAGTGAGAAGCACTCGTTCGCACAGCATGTGAAGCCATGGTGTAAGCATACGGAAGGAAAGCTGGCTCTCGGTCAACCTACCCAGGATCTTTCTCACCAAAGATGCAATCTGGGCTCTAACTTCGCCATTCCCCAGGCTCCCGCCCACCAGGTGCCCTATGAAAGTGTAGACGGACCTTAAGACTCGTGAGCTGCCCAGAACCGCTCTGAACAACAGGATTCTTGCTAAAGTCAACTGCTATCGACCTACGCAGACGACTCATAAACCAGTAATCTGCTCGAAAAGTATGGGAGCAATTGGGAGCTGCAAGGTGGAAATGCTTTGGAGATCTGAAGCTTTACAGCGAGGGCCTCGCATCTGCTCCAAGATGTTGACCCTGCAGTGGCATAGCCCAGGCGCCCGGCGAGAGGCCTTGCAGAGTTCCGCTGCTTGCTTCAAAAGATTACTCTCAGCTACGTCTAGACTTGTTGGAGTCCCGTTAGAGCTATTGCTGAGGCTGGTACAACGGCCACTACCGCAGCTTTGTCCGAGAACAACAGCGCGCAAGATGCCAAGACCTATGCAGAGCTGACAAGAATCTTGCTAGACGAGCTGCCTGTTCACAGTGCAATACTTGCTCAATGAAATAATGTCCTTACCAGATTGCTGTACATGTAGAGTCAGGTGATGCCTCTTCCCACCTATTCGCAATAGTATGCTGTGTGTGTAGAGCATCTTTTACTGTTGACTTTTCAGGCTGTGCAGCGTCGCATGGTGCAGCTCTACGTTGCGGAAGGCTGGATCCTCCGTCCCTTCTGAGCTTGCTGACCGGTCTGAGCCTGTGGATGTCTATGCGCTTCAGTCAGGAGTTGGTGGGGGTGGGCTCAGCGAGGATGTGGCTGAACACTACAAGCAGCTGATCCGAGTCCAGGTGCAGCTCGACACCACATGCCAGTGTGCAGGGATAGGTCCATTAACGGCTGCCTGCCCATGCTGGGCCTTGACTACACCACATTCTTCTCTTGCGTGGCTCAATATCGCAAGTCAGCTTTGCCAGGTGGAATCATGACAATTTTCTGGTATCCCGCTAGTTGTGCCACGGGGTGCACCGAGTTGGCTCCAGCCGGTTGACGTAATGCACTGCTGTACGCGCAACCTGTCAAAACTGATCAAGCACAACTCCCATGCCGCTTTAGTGGGAAGCCATGGTGGATGCCTTGTTGAGGAGCCTCAGCGTTGGAAGGGTTTCCTGCCTTTGTTCAGCTTTTTTGCCGTTGCCTTGGCGATGAGTTTTTTTCGTTACCTGCAGTGTCAATCAATAAATCAATTTCCCGCGTAGCTCAAACCACACCCTAGATATGGATTCGGAAGGCTTGTGCCATTTTCGACGGCGGCCTAGGCAAGTTCGACATTGCTGCCATCTGCCATGAGGCCATGATGGCCATGCAACAGAGATGCGTGTCGATGTCATGTCGATCTCTTGGCTGTGAAAGCCATGGAAACTGCCGCTGCCGAGGTGCGATGTGTTAACGCGCAGGTGGGTGAAACATTTTGCATCACGTCAACGGCTGAGCCAACAGAACCACGCTACTGTTGGTACAAGTAGCCCAGCATTTTTGCACACTTTTGCAAGGCTGTCTGACGCGGAACAGCGTGTGGCTGGTGACGAGCTCCACAGCCTCGGCACCGTTGCAATTGCCAAGCTTGCTTCCTAAAAGCCAACTCGACCAACTCGACCTCGGCAGTTACGGGTTACGGGCAGTCGTGGGCAGTCGTGGTAGTTGAAATCTTTCAGGTCCCAGGCCGAGGATGGCATCCTTGTTCTTAAGGCAGGCAAGGGGTTGGCCACATCTGTGCCATAATTGCATACATGCTCAAGTTTCATTCGTCAACAGGTCTGGGCAACGCGAGACACGCCACCTTTCTCCAAGCATGCGGAGAAGCGGCCTGTGGGTGAGGTATGGGTGCCAGCTATCAATGAAGAGCTATATCTTGCTGCAACGCAGTGATGTCAGGTACGCATTCCTCTCCGACACCTTTCTGACCTTTGCAACTGCATGTTATACTTCACCTGGGCCTGGTTCTCACTCAGCACTGCGTGTCTGAAAAGTCGTCCTTCCGGCGATCCGTGGAAGCGTGCTGTTGGCCGATTTTCTGGTGCCGAGGTGAACTTGGAGAGTGCAGGACTCAATGATTCCGTCGCCCACCTAGGCATGCTTGCAAGCACAGAAGAGCGGAGCCTTTGCTCTGCGTGCAGCCTGTAATTATGAACGTCTTGTACTCGTGTTGATTCGAGTCCTGAGCTTGCAACAGATGTGCGCACGACTCTGCAACACTCTGCAATACATGTCTTCAAGGCCAATTGAACATTTTCGTGCATGCTTAATTTGTGAGCAGGCTATGGCAACCCATTTGCTGCCAACAGCTCGGAGTCGTTCCTCCAGGCATCGTTTTTGACTGAACGCGAAATTCTTGTTTGGAAGTGCGCGAGGATGTGAACTGCAGAAGCAGCAGCTAGGAAATCTGCATTTTGCCACGCTGCCTTGCATCTGGGAAGTCAGCTATTTCAGACAGCCGTGGCTGGCAGGGCATCATGAGCAACCCTCGGCAGTTGATGCATCCGAAGGCGTCGCACTTTTTTGCAACCTAATTCCATCTTCCTGAAGCTTTGGAAAAATCTTGCTTCGAACATGTGCAAAAGAGTTTTGGCATTGTGTTGTGCCAGGCCTGCATCTCACTCTGTCGGGCAGATCAGCTGGCTGAGACCGACAGACTGCTCTGGACAAAGGACTTGCCGAGGCCTCGCTCATCAGCGCTCAGGATCGCTGAGCAGGTAGTACAAGGCCGTATCATATTCCATGGCAGGCAAGATCGCGTTAAGCGATGGGGTCCTCTTCTGCGATCTCAACAGCAGCATGCAGTGATGCATCCTGGCTGCACTTCAGCTTTGAAATTATGGATTATAGAATCTTGATTGCAGCTTGAGCTTGACATGCATGCTACGAGGCAGTCAGGATTCAACAAAAAAGGCTCTCTCATGTGTTTAGAGTACCATCACGCCTGCGTTCAGGTGCACGGCCCAGAACCTTGAGGAGACCGCTGTTTGCTGCACCACCTTTCCATCATTCTCAATCTGCATCTAGCCAAGAATCAGAAGTCTCACCCTATCGATTCAGTTTGCTATCGCGGCCAGCGAAGCTTGATACTGCAAGAAGCGAATGTTGTCGTGACACCGCCAGGCGGCACAACAACAGAACGGATCTGGTTTTCTTCCTCAGCGACTCATGCACCTCAGGGTTACGGTCTCAGTCCACCTCCCAACACCCATCACTATCCCATTGCAAGTTACCGCTCAACGCCAATTCAGGTCCCACGTACACTAGCCCTTCTGATACAGTAGAAGCCGAGCGTCTGTGTAGCCGAAGAGTGTTATCCTCAAATGTGTCTAGGCCTCCAAGTAGTGTGTTTGGCAACTGATTCAGTCCAGCCTGGGATACCGGCAGCCGTATGCTCAAAACTGGAATGTCGGTCTTCGGGAGCAGTCCCTTTCTTTCGCATGCCTGGCATGTTTTTGCCTCCATGGCCGCCACTTCGAGTACTTGCAGGGCTCAAAAGCCTCCCGGGATTCAGGCTGTGTATGAACAGGCCTTGCAGTGGGGAGCTGCACATCCTGACATAAGTGATTGTTGGTTAGAGTCGAGCAATCAGACGTTTGAGGCATGCTGTGTGCACTGGAGCCGGAATGAGACTCCCGGGCAAGACTGCTGGGATGAAGGGCAAAGAACAAAGCGCTACGAGCATTGCTGTGTTCCGAAGTTAGACTGGGCTCCGCGATCATTTTTCTCATGTACTGGCAAAGGTGCTTACTGGGAGCGTTTACGACAGACCCTGGCGCTTTTTCGTGACTTCAAGGAGCTGTCTTCGACACCGCTTGTCAATGCCGACCCACGGGAGTGCTTGATTGGCGGAGTGCTCGGTCACATGCTAGCCTTGGTTCACGTGAGCCACTACAAGCATGGAAGAACTCAAGCGCAGAAGGACAGAGACTACGATGCTGCAGAATACCTTCTAAAGGTCTTGTTGCAAAGCCCGGTGAGCTTGGAGGAGCTGCTAGTTACTGGCTGGCCTCTTTTCCTCTCGCTGGACCTTTTCCGTTTAGACCCGGGCTTTCAACGGATGGCGCAAAGGCGAGTTCCAATCCCGGTGAGGCTTTCTGAGGAGAGCAGGCGATGGAGCCACGAACTAGGCCAAGCGATTGATGCAGGCTCTGGCAAGCGAATTCCTCTTGATGCTCTTATGAAGTTCTTAGATTCCATCAAAACAGATGAGAGCCTCAAAGGCATCATGCCGCTCTTTACAGCCCTTGTCAATTACCACAACCTCCGCATGATAGATCAGCTTAGAGCCGATGAGCATGACATACGCTCCATGGGCCTGGAAGCAAAGCACCTCATTATGTTTGCTGATACGCAGCTTAAAGCATGGCTGGCAAAATTCGAGTACCCGTTTTCCTTGTTCATCCAGCTCCAGCTGCCCCTCGTCAGTCTCTTGCAGGCATTGTCCTGGCCAGCCGTTGTGCTGACTCGTCCCGGCGATTACCTGAGAAACACAGTCCACTTTGCTGGCAGTCAGGTCAAGCGTGTCCTGCAAGGCGAAATTGTTCGAGGTATGCCGCTATTGGAGCAGCACGTGTACCCCGGGTTCGACGCAGCGAGCAACATGGTACGGGCCACTGAGGCACCCATGTGCTATGCAGATAGTTTCCTTCTGCTCGTTGCCGCTATCGCCTCTGCTGGTCTCTTGGCAGGGCACAGCAGCCTTCGTGTCTGGGATATTGGAGCCAGTTACGGAGACTGCTTGCTTTGGGCGGCTTCCCTGTTGTACGCGTCCTGCTCTCCAGCCATGACAACCTTGTGCTTGGAGCTCAAAGGTTTTGAGCCTCTTCCCGTGGCCGCAGCGGCATTCCAGCGCTCTGCGCGAAGCTTCCTAAGAATGATTAAAGGCAGAGATGATGCATTCCGGAATGTACAAGTTTTGGTGGAACAAGTGGCCATGAGAGAGACACGCAGCTCCCTCCACATCTCTTTCCCGGGCTACTCCTTGGCCTTGGGCACCTTTCTGAACTGTGAGACGCAGTACGGCATTCCTTCCGGCGATTCTGCTTGTGCGAGAAGAGAGACCAGATCAGACACTTTGGATGTATATTTGGCAAGATGGATGCTGGAGAATCGCGGACCCATCGATTTATTGAAGGTACACGTTCAGGGAGATGAGGTATCCGTTCTGCGAGGTGCAAATTCGTCTTTAGCCCATGGCCTTGTATGTGCTATGATTTTGAATCTGGAGCATATTTCCCTGCAGGCGCGCAGTATCAGCAACCTGTGGCTTCTTCTCAGGGGTCTCTTTCGCAGCGCTGGCTTCGTGGGTGTTTTGGTAAATCTGTGGGATGTCAGGCCAGCCACGAAAGAGGCCCTAATGGCAGCAATGACAAGGAAGCAGGCACCTTGGCAGCGCCTGGAAGGCCATAAGCCGCAGAGGCCAGTTGAGCTTCGGCACGAGTTGGTGCTTTGGAGACCTGGTGAGCCATGTAGCCAAAGTGTTGCAGTAGTGGCTGCAATGCGGCTTTGGCAATCGAGTGCTGTTGGATTTTAGAAAAGTCGGTAACAGTCATGGCATGGGCTTCCCCACCCTGCGGCAAAGAAGTTGGCAGAGTGTTGCCCAGGCGCAGGCTGATGAGCAAGCTCAGGAGATTGAGCTGCTGCAGGCAAAGCAGCAGTTTTCAAAGTTTGTCCGCTAGAGCGAGTGCCGCCTCGGCGAGGGCGGCCGAAAGGGAGCGCGGCTGGAAGACTGCGTGAATTCTGATGTGTCAGAGGGGCATGAAGAGCACGTAGATGATGAGAAGTTGGGCCCTGAAGTGAAGGGGGTTGGGTGGCCGGTGGCGGGAGGTGCGGGCGGGGAGTGGCATCTCCCTGCATGTGCTGATCATGCATGCCTTCCTTGTTATTGAGTGCATGGAGTCAGAATCACTGCATGCAGTTTCTGCTGATTTTTCTTCGGCCCGCCAGGAGCAGTTGCAGCCGCGGCCTTGAATTTGTTCAGTGACTCCAGTCGAGAGAACGGTAATGGTAGAGTGCATTTGTACAGACCGCGTGAAGACTCTGCGTCGCGCTCTGCCATGGTTTTGATGCAACGTCCGGGGCCTCCTCAGGTCGGCTTCACGCTCCACCACGGCACCTACCTCTGCAGAAGCACTGGACGTTTTGCTCAACGGAGGAGGAGCCTGATTAATTGGTGGGCATCAGAGTGTCGCGTTCACACTGGCCGGTAGCTCGGTAGCTTTAGCTGCTCGACGCTTTGCAGGAGACCAATGGAGACAAAAGCCATCCATGTCCCATGGCTGAAACTTGGTTGTTGCGTGTGCCTGGTTGTGAAAGTCGAGAGCGCGTCAACGTTTTGCTATTTGCTTGGCTTCGACTTGCATCGTATTGCTTGTGAAAAGCAGATTTTCCAGATCGGACCTTGCAGGACTCTGCTGGAGGAACGAACCAGTCGTCAGCTCGAAGAGGCCCAAGGCTCAGTCAAGTCTGTCAAGCATACTTGAGAAAAGTCAAACTTTTGGTGACCAAGGCTAGAGGCCTCGCGATGCAGACGGAAGCTGCTTTGGCAAGGCTGACAGGAGGGTTGTGCAGTCTCATGATTTTAGAGCCCTTCCCACTTGCGAAGTCATGCTGTTCCGATCTTGGCAGCGTGGGTCATTGGCAAGCATGAAATCAGCATTGATCAGACTTGAGATGACTTGAGCGTAAAATCAGGATTTGAAGGGGGGTGAGCCTCACGCTCCGAGCGACCCGCCCCTTGGTCTGGAACTTCGCAAGACAGTTCTACCCCCTTGACTTTTCTGACATCTCGACCCGCAGCGCAGAACCTGCCCGGAATCCAGGGTTTGGGGAGTTGAATGCAGTTGGATGAAAACCTTGACACTTTGCCACTCCCATTGCTCCCATCGCTAGTGTACGTACGTAGAGCGCTCCTCCATGCTCCTGTGCAGCCTGTAGTCGCCGGCAGGCGTGGACGAGAAGCGGAAGCACACAAGGACGCCCGCTAATCCTGATTAATTCCATACGTGTTTGGCATCTGAAAGTGCAGTGGCAAATAAGAGCAGCATAGAGCAGCTGTTGCCTGGAAGCGGATACAATTTTGAAGCAGGATGTGTGAATTTTTTGGGGAACCCCCTGCCAAGACCACGGCCAGTTGATGTGTAAGACTGTGAGGAGCTGGAGCTGCAGCAAAGTCTAAGCGCTCAGCTCCGAGGTGAGCTGCAAAGCTACGAGGCGAAAAGCAAAAACAGAAACTCGAAACTCAGAGAAGAAGCAGTACTTGCATGCAGGTCGAGCTGTCGAAGCTCGGTGAAGAAGCCAACAACAAGATCGAGGCCAGCATTTAAGCGTGCGTCAACACGTCATGCATGCATCAGCATAGGCTGCAAACATCCGCATCCGCGCGCTTCGAAGAGAGCGTGATGAGGCATTTGATTGGCTGCACCTCGCTATGCCGCATGCCACTCACTGGACAAGACTGCTAGAATATGCTAGAATGGTGTCAGGCGTCGCGAGCGCTTGCAGATCGGAAGGAAGGCAACCAGAAGCTACAAGTGCTGCTCCAGGCTCAACTTTGCCAAATTGCTGCAGCATTTAATTTGAAGCAGCATGAGCAGCTAAAGCTTGGCCTGCGCAAGAGGAGTTGGAAGATGAGAAGTCGCAGCTCGCTCAGCAGAAGGAGGCCCTGCGCAGAAGCAGCAAGCGCCCAGATGTAGACTGTCGTTCCTAAGCGCTTTCGGAAGTGTGGACGGAGTGTTTTAGCGGCTGAGCCTCGTGTAGACATGCGACGTCCCGATGAAAACTCAAAGTGCTACAAGTTGTGCTTGCCCTGCTCCATCTTGGCAAGCCTGGCAGACCTTGATGCGGATGGTGGAAGACCTCCATACGTGCTGCAACGAGGCAGGTCTTCCAGCAGCAGATCGAGCATCCATCGCCTCGCGGCACAACACGTGCTTCAAATTGAAGTATCTCAAGCCGGATTTTTTGTATGTTTTTCTTGGCGTCACGGGCGTGGGAGCTTGCTTAGGAACAAGCACGGGGTTGTCGAATGTCCGAATCGATGAACATATGGCAAGGGGGCGCAAGCTCGAGCAGGTCAACCCTTCATTTTGAAGGAGTCTTGAAGGCTAGGACTTAAACAACTCTCCCTGTCCGCAGTGTGTGTTTTTCTTCATCGAGTTTGGACGTTTCTTTTTCTGGCTTCCCAACTGTAACGCCCCAACCCATTGCATCCTGCCTGCGACCCCCACCTCCAAACAGCCCTAAACAACCCCAAACCCTATAAACCCTACCTAACACCCCAAACCGTAAACCCCAAAGCCCGAAACCCAAACAAGCCAGCCACATACCCTCGAAGCTAAACCACCACCACCTTAAACTCTCAACAACCCAACGGCTCAATTCCTACCAAAGCGCAGACCCTAAACAGCTCCAAACCCTATCAGCTAAAAATTACCCCAAACCAAAAACCTGAATAACTCCAAGCCCTAAACGCTAGACAACTCCTGCAATCTGCAAACAACTCCAAACTCTTAATCCCGTCCAACTTCAACCCCAAGTCTAAACAAGCTCAAGCCGTGAACCTGAGCCCCAAAGTCACCGCTAAGCTTTCCTGAGGATTGAGCCCAAAGCAAAACCCCAGTCGCCTCGTCACAAGTCATTTGTTCTTACTCCCTTTTTCAACAGTACGTACTCGTCCTGAGTGATGTTTGTCCCCTTCATGGTGTCTCGTTGACATGCTAGCCCTTAAGGACAGCATCAGTGGCTTCAAGCTCCCAGGCTGAGACTCCAGAAAAGGCCGGTCGCGTGGGATTCTTGCGTGGGCACTTCGTTGAAGAATCTATTTCCTCCTTTGACCGGGACCTTGGCGCCAGCACCATGAAGCCGTGCGGGCCTGTGATAATGCTGCGCGTGCGCTACGTGCAACGGGGTCGCGCAATTGTGCGACCCCATGTTTCTTGTAGCGTGACGTTGCTTCCGCAGCGATCGGATGATCTGCTGCGGACAGCCTGCTGATCTAGGCAAGGTTCTAATTCCTCTCAGCAGGACCCAATTGCTTGAAATAGATCTGGTAGGAGTACGTACTGCAAGACTGTCAACATGTGGCGGTTGCTTGGAGATCTGTTTCTTGTCCAAGCAATATCGAATGCTGTTCTTGTATTATAAGCACGCAGACAGACATGATTGATTTGATCTGAGAGGCCCTGACAGTACTTGCAAACAGCAGAAGCAACCGTTGCAGTCCGTCTTGGTAGCTGCCCAAGCTGTCATCCAACGGAAAAGACGGACGCCCTGAGGCTTAGATGTTTCGATGCAGTACGTTGAGGTTGATGTCATGCACAGAGTTGAGATTGACATCCTTGTGCGCTGACCAGTCAGGACACGGAACTGCGAGAGGTTCGCAGTCTCCTCAGCTGTCGTGGAGCAGCGTGGGCTCTAGCTTCCGCACCTCAGAGTCAGTCACGATAGCCCTGGGCCACAACTTGAGCCATCTGACCAGGTCATGAGAATGAGCAGTTGCGCTCGGAGGCAGCAAATGCTCCGTTTTGATCGTTTTGACTTTGGCCATCTCGGACCGTTTGCCTTGTTTCAGGTAGAGGCGTTCATGAACCGCAGCCTGAAAGCCAGCTCTGCCGCTTTGGCAGACAAGGCGCTTCCAGAGACTTGTGCGATCATTCGAAGTCTTTCTACGCAACTTGTAGACGGTTGATGGGATTCAACTCTGTATCGTGTTTGAAGCTATTTGATCTGCTGCCTTCGCTGCAGAGATTTTGCGATCCTAAATTGGAGGCAGCAGGATGTGCGACGGTGCAAAGCAACCTTTGCCGCCTCTTCGATAATGGGCCTTGACGCACGAACAACCGCATGTTGTGTCGTCAAGACGAACCCGATGGTCGCCGTTCCGAAGCTGACAACCAAAGTTGCCACCAGCAGAAGCGCAGCAAAATACCTGGTCCTAGCAACACAACCCCCAGATCCTTGTATGCCAGCTTCTTTCAATAAACGGGCTTGTATTAACAAGCCGCGCCAGATAATCATCAGTTGTCCTGCTCCAAGACTGTAAATGGGCCAGTCTTGCTGCAACAATGAGAGGACAAGACAATGATAAAAGGGAAGTTGCTACCAAAAGCCTGCCGCTACAGATTGCAGGGCGAAGGCTCAAAGAATTTCCTGGAGCGCGAACACGCACGATAACGCAACAACGACTGCATCATCGTCAATAACAAGACGCAGAACAAGTACAATAATAATGACAACATTCTGAAGCACAATCGCTTGTCAAACTCTAGCCCGTCTGCCTCTTCGCGCTTTCTGCCTCTTCGTGCTTCATCTCGCCGCAGTTTGACTTCGACTCTGCTTGATCAGACAGGATTATTGTTCGGGGCAGCGGTGACGTATTTGGTGCACTGCTGTGGAAAACTTGAAATGATCTGAAGAAACTCAACACTGCTGGGACAGAAAGAGCAGCTGGTACGTCACGTTTTTCGAGTCAAGAGCTGTGTTTAATCCTACAGCAGAAGCCGTCAGAAAACTAGCTCGTCCAGTGTTCTTGCCTCGGGGCCAGCCTTGCCAAGGGAACTAGATATGGGGGGGGGGGTGGGGACGAACGATTCCATGCCGTTTAAATGAGATGGGCCCCAAGATCCAACGCAAAGAGGACGAGACGAGAGGCTGCAGTTCACCGCGAGTCCCTCCGGAATAACTCGGATGTGCTGAGAGGCAAATGGAGTGAGTGCACAACCTCGAGGCTTGGGGGCTATGAGCTGGACACGCGTAAGTGCACAGAGCACACTTAACTTATGCTGTTAACAGAAGAAAGGGCAGCAGGCCCATCGACCAGACGCCGGTGCGTCCAAAGCAAGCTTTTAAGCATATTTGAGCATTAGTACATTTGATTGTGTTGGATGGTGCTGAATGGACAGGATGAAGCGTGTGAGCTCACGGCTCTGTAAGCCAAAGTGCCTGTAAAACAGGCGGATGCCTTGGAGATGGAGAACAAGGCTCGCCGGCTCGCCAGAATTCACTGAACTACTTTTCGACACAGTGGGTTATTCTCATGTTCAGATCCATGTGTACTGCAGGCGTTACACGTAGAGGTGGATGAGCTGCAGCAAGAGGCCCAACAATACGCTGGCACACAGCATCATCTCAGCCTTATTCTGATTCTACCTTGCGAGTTGGACCAGCGCGTGGGCCGACTCGAGCAAGAGCGTCAGAAGTCAGGATCCGAGAGATGCAGGCAGGGCTCCCCACGCGCCCTCATCTCAAATTGCAAAGGCTGCGCTTGGCAGTGTCTGAACTTGAGCTGCAGCTCCAGCCCACAGCTCAGCTTTTCTTGGTTGGTGAAGCTTGCCACATGGTATGAGCCCTTCCAGGTCGATGGCTGTCAGTTACGGGCAGGCCGTGATCTTTCTGTTAAATCGCAGAGACTGCTTTGCTGATGGTTCCGATCTCAAGTCAGTCTGAGCCGAATAGCAAATGAAAAGGCTCACCAGCCACTAGCCGGGCTTCCGAGAGTTGCTGACTAGATACATGAACCAGCATGTAATCTGCGCCCTATAGAGACTCGCAACTCCACCACTACAACTCTTTCTGGAGGCTTGCATTTGATCCTTTTGCTCAGCCAGGTTGAGCAGAACAATGCCGAGTTGCGTGCCGCGCTCGCTGCTGCAGACGCCTTAGCTATCTATCTTCCTTGCATGTGGAACTCAAATGGATCAAGGCGCTGGAAGGCAGCACTTGTATTTGCTTGGCCTTGCTGCAGTGATGTCGTGGTGGGTCTTTGGCTCGAGAGTTCTGCCGGGCGAACCTCTTGGAGCGAATTGAGGCACAAATGCACTCCAGGCAGGTCGGAAGTTGGGTCTCTTTGAGGACTTCCTGTGGCCAGGTAATCCAAGCATCTGCGATGACCATGACTCTGCGAGCTGTCCCAGCTGTTGCTCAGCAGAATGCGATGCCCCAGGCCATTGGCTCAGCCTGAGTGCTTCTTTCTTTGGTATTGCGATGTGGCGCATGTAGGGTGTAGCGCAATGTTAAGGCCGCCAGCAACAAGGACCGCGCTCGCTACGAGCTTCAGCAACTTGGCTAGAAGCTTGCAGATGCCCCTTCAGCTTCACTTCTACAGCGCGAGGTTCTACAAGACTCGGGCATGCTCTTTCTATGAGAAGGGCAAGTGCACCCGCGGTGACAAGTGCAAGTATGCGCACGGTACATCTGAGCTCCTCGGCCTGGATTTGCAAAAGTCTAGAAAGCCAAGCTAAAGCAGTGAAGACTACCTGCAGGCTGCAGTCGCGGCCTGATTTGACTTTCACTTCACTCTGCCGCAGCTTGGCTTCAAGACCGTTACAGACATGAGTTTGGTGCGCATAAGAACCATGTTGGAAACTGCATTTCCTTGACATCCTGCGGCTGTGTAGACAAATAAGCTGTGAATCTAAAGCACCAGCTTGGGGAAGTGCCATGATAGGCAAGTTCACGGCCACTGGCGTCTGTGACGACCCCGGGTGCTCCTTCGCACACAACCCGGAGCAGCTCCGGGCAACGAAGAAATTCTTCAAGGCCGACACCTTTAAGGTTATTGAAGCCATCATTTGCGGCCGAAGAGTGCATGCTGCATGCTTTCCCTTCTCCTTGCGCATGCAGTGCAACCTTCTTTGCAGACATCGCTGTGCAAGTTCCACCTGAACGGACGGTGCCGATTGGGTGAGGAGACCGCATGCGCATGCGTGTGGAGTTTTGGCAGACAATGCCTCAACCTGCGGAGAAGCAATGCATCGAGTCTCAATCTTCAATATGGGGACGTGACAACAGCACTCCCCTGTTCACTGTGTGGATGCAAGTAGCAGTGTTTGCCCTGCCGAACTATCCTGCGGGTCGCGATACCGTACTGCCATTTAGATGCGGATGATGAGGCATGCTGAGGATTTTGCACGTGATTCATGAAGCTGACACCAGTGTGCCAAATTTGCGCAGGGCATGGTGTGCGAGTATGGAACGATCTCAAGATGTTGGCAGCATTAGCAAACTGATCTGGTGGAATTCATGTTGAGAACAGTGGTCACTTCAAGACTGCTCTCCCGCGGCAAGAGTAGAGCAACAAGCATGAAACTTATGTCAACGGAAGTAAGCTGGTTTTTGGAAGCATGAGCTTTGGAATTTGTTCTTCAAGATCATATGTTGAACGCTCTTGTTCTTGCAGATGACATGTTGGATGCTTGACAAGTTGTATAGATTGGTTCACAAGAACGTCATTCAGTAAAACGCCCCTTACAGGAGTGCCGACACGCTCATGGCGAAGATGAGCTTCAGCCGCTGCCATCACAGCCTGCCCGGCAGGCCACCCTCGCTTTTTTTTGTCGGGAGGTGGTGGCGCATTCGCTGCTCTCCGAAAAGTGCATGGTTCCAAACGAGCATGGTGTGTCAAGCACGTAATTGATTCTTTGTGTGATTCGTGCTGAGTGTTTGTTATTAGGGGCAGGAGTTGTGATGATGCCCTGAGGTGGAGCTGTCTGCGCCTCCTGGCCTCTCAAGACCTGATGAAGTCCAGCCAGGCAATCGGATAATTGAAATCCTGGCTTCTGGGGAAAATGACACGCACAGGAGACGTTGACCTGAGCCGCAGCTATGCCGCTTCACTGCTGTTGAATGCTGCAGCTGCAGGCCAGGTAGTTATCTGTATTTGCTCGGTGACGCATGGGCAATGCCGTGCTGGCTTTTTCGATGGCTGAACAGGTGGCAAGTACGGACAAGGTGGTTACACGGGCACCGCTGCTGAATGTCTGTG